ATGCTAACCCCAATACAATATCAACAATGCGTTTTCGTATGCAAATTCACTAAACAACATGGCCGCCCCCAACAGGAGAGAGGCCCCTGCTTGCAGGTGGTCCTTCACCTTGCACAACTATGGCGATGACGACGTGGCGCGCCTGCGGAACATCGACCCCGCGGCAATCAAGTTCATGGTTGTCGGTGCGGAGGTGTCCCCGACCACCGGGACACCCCACCTACAGGGCTACGTCAACTTTGCCAGGAAGATTCGTACCCCGCAGGTGAAAGGGCACCTGGGCGACAGATGCCACGTCGAGAAGGCCGTCGGCAACGACCACGACAACGACCGCTACTGCTCCAAAGATGGCGACGTCGTCGTCCGCATGGGACATCCCGTCAGACAGGGCCAGAGAAACGACCTGACGGCCGCCACCCATTTCCTGCAGGAAAATGACGGCGACCTGTCTGCACTGGCCCAAGAGATGCCGGAGACCTTTGTGCGACATCACCGCGGTCTGGAGGCCTATGTCTCCTACGCCCGTCTGCAGCCGGTCCGCGACTTCCTGACCCGCTGTTTTGTCTTTGTTGGGCCGCCGGGATTTGGCAAGAGTAGGTTGGTGCGGGAGTACCTGCCAGACGACACGACCACCTACTACAAACCGGAGGGGGCCTGGTTTGACGGCTACATGGGGCAGAGTGACGTCGTCCTCAACGACTTCCACGGCGACATCCCCCGGCCGACCTTTTTGAATATGGTTGACCGCTACCCACTGCGAGGGCCGATCAAGGGCGGCTTTGTCAACTTTGCCGCAAGAAGGGTTTGGATCACGACTAACATCTTCCCAAACCACTGGTACGCCAACGACCACGACCCCGCGGCGATCTTTCGCAGGATCACACTCTTCCAGTTGTGGGACGACGCGGCACAGTGCTTCAAGGAGTTGGAGTATTCCAACCTCCCACCCGGCCACGTCCTCTACGGCTGGCATTACGACTATTGAGAAAGAAAGAAATCACATCACAATAAAGTGAATACATATAAGTGAATAAAGTGAATGAAGAAAAAAAGAAATCACATTGTGAAGTGAATAAAGTGAATACATAAATACACAAAGATATCAAAACTCAAAAGAAACAAAACAAAGATCAAGACACCTCACACCATCTACAATACCTAACAGTCAACTGTACTTACACCCAATCCCGCTAGATCACCCCATACGACCACCTACCCCTGCACTTCTACCAACGATCGCTAGATGCTTCCCCTGCACTTCTACCAACGATCGCTAGATGCTTCCCCTGCAGTTCCACCAACGATCGCTAGATGCTACCCCTGCAGTTCCAGATACCTTTGACCCAGTGTTGACGTCACACTTCAAAGAAGCCACGTGACAAGCTTCACTGGGTCAGTCTACTGAGGAAGACCAGAGTGACTGGTTGAAAGCTCTAGGTGAGAGAATTTTTGTGTTGGATCAAAAGTTTTAACTTTAAACATGTAACTACCAACACAGATGAACTTTCATGATAGTATAAGAAGTGATTGAAATATTTGTTTGAATTTCTGAGATCTACGGAAAGTAGATTTTATCTTTATGTATGTATGCACCAGTTGTGCGACTACAGAGTCATAACGTGTGTATAGATGTTCATAGCTCAAACGGCTAACGATTGAAATATTTGTTTGAATTTCTGAGATCTACGGAAAGTAGATTTTATCATCCTGGACTTTCTCCTTCTTGCACCTGTTGCTATCGTGAACATGTCCATTTTTTTTCAGTCAGTGAACTTTTGCTACCGTGAACATTAAGTGAATTACAGTACTACGAAATTCATTCATTAATTCTTAGATGGAAATATTAATCTTGAGCACCGCGTAGCCTCTCTTCACGTAGGCGTCGCGCAAGGTCACCCTAAGGTTCTCCAGGTCCGTCCCCCGAGCCATCTGCCTCCCGGTCGCTCTCTCGCACCCATCCTACTTGCAGCCAGTCTCCACTGATACGTGCATAAGTCATAATGCCTGCTTTTGGGGCACCAGGGCGGTGGTAGCGGGTAACTCGCAGGGGTGGGGTGGTCGACAACTCCGTCACTTTCTCTGCATTGGAGTAATAATGGTACGTTTGTAGTGTCAGTTGCTATAAATAAAAATGAAACGAAAGGTGGATGTCAAACTTTTGGTTCAGACCTAGCTTTATATAACCGATACGACTTTGTCTCGACGTAGTGACCTCTTTGGAAGAGTTTGTATCTGTATTGTAATGTATTGTAATGCAACGGGATCTAAACGTCACACAAAACAAAAAAAACGACCACTTACATTCTGGCAGACAATTCAATGTCAAACTGATGGTAGCGATGGTACGTCTGTTCGTCGGAGGAGTGTAAGTCGTCTGTGAATATATTCTGTCACGAACAGGTCGTAAGCGCTGGGTCATGGGGCAAACCATTGTTACTTCCCTTGAATGTACGTACGTGGATGTAGCAAATGATCGCAACACTTGTATATCACCAAAAGCATCGATAACTAGTGCAAGATTAAAGTTTTCTTTTCCGTACGTATGCTGAAAGGTGTCCAATTTATCGTTCCTATCGTTGAGTTGTCCCCCATATTTCATAACATTTAAACGTCCATTACCATAGAAATTATTATGGCTTTCGGCGATACCACTATGACTAAGGGGTGCGGAGCATTACTGGTATGTAACAGTAAAATGAGTTTCATGTAACGATACGTATGACTAACGATTATGAAACGCAACACAGAAAGACAAAAGTGTTTATACATTTTTATTTCAAAATCGAACGGCATCGCTCCCTTATCGCTCGCTGAATGAGACACCCTGGAGACAGGGATGGTTGACTCTCGTGACCTCGCTCAAACAGCTGGTGACGGGGTCAGACGAGAGTTTCTGAACGGAGAGCAGAAGAGCATCAAGGTCGTACTATACTACAGTATAATACCTTATCATGCCGAAGTAAAATGCGTGTTCACATTTTAAAACGTTGCAGTGAATATTGCACAAGTTTCATGGAACGTCATGGGACCATTGTGCCTTGTTCAACATAATACGTTACTCCTGATTCAGTGAACTCTGGGCCGCGCTGGAGCAAGTCGCGTAATCATAGAAAAAAATTGGACATGCTTGCAACAGAGAAACAGCATTGTGACATATTTTACTACTTTTGAGTGCATGATAGATTGTAACATATCCAGAAATGACCTGCGATTTATTATGCCGGACTTTGGACCCCCTTTTCTGCTCGAACGTTCCACACCGACCGCGAGTCAAGTGCGTGCTGTAACTTCAGTGTCCCCCCAAACTACAGCGCGTATCGCTATCATTGGATAAAATCCACATCCGTGCAGCTTAAGTCACAGTTACATGACCGCCAGGAGATTAAAGGTTATTTTTCATGGGTAGAGGCTCAAATGCACAGGAACAAAAGGCATGCGCCTACACGTAGAACAGTATGCCGGACTTTGGACCCCTCCCGTTAGTAAAAACAGTCTTATCAAATTTTGAGTTTTTCTCTAAACCTACATTTTTCTATCAACTTCATATTCCTACGTACGTACCAACCTCAATACTGGTATTAAAAGTTGAGGGCTCATGCACGGGGTGAGAGTTTCATCTCGCTTTAATTATGTTTACCGAAGGAAAACATAAATGTTTTTGCTCCATTTCTTCTTCTGTTCCAAACACTAATCTCTGACCTGGCCAATGGCCTCTTTTGTTTACGTCTGTCACCATAGTAACTGGTGTCAGGTTACACAATGTGGCAATTTCATAGTAGGCATTTAGACTCCTGTCACCATATACATGTATGTGAATGTGTTTGAGTAAGAATTAACAGAGCAGACCATATCCGAAGGTAAACATTATGTATTTGCTTTGCAAATG